CCAGTCTCCCAAGGCTATAGAAGGCTGCTTACATCAAAATGGAATCTCACCTGCCTTTATTCTGCATTGCATGGCAGTTGAAGAACCTCGAAAACAAATTAGCCTGGTTTTACACCTGAGGAACTCAACATACTGCGTTAAAGCACTGCAGGACAGAATGTTGCATTCTTAGCACATTTAGGTTATTCGGAGAACTACTGCAAGCAAGAAATGGGGAAAAACAAGGTCCTGAGTTGGATCCCCAGTACCAAAAAAAAAAAAAAGAAAAGAAATGGGGAAAAAGCTGGATTACCAAGGCCATCTGGGGACTTGTCCTCCAAGTCACTCAAATGTTTGGGGATAAATTTAGAGAACAAGTGTACCATCTTTGTGTTGTAAATAAAAAAAAATGAACACTGAAAACTCATATACAGAATGTTTTTATGTAGGAGATCCTTACCACAACTTGATTTAGAATCAGAAAATAAACTAATATACATATTTAAAGCTTGTTTTTATTTCTCTTCAGTCTGTATTTATTAAGATTATATCTACTAAATAGTGAGCACAGTATGTGACTGGGTACTATCTTAAACGCTGTCTACACACCACTTTATTTAATTCTCTTGACCCAAAGATTGGCACTCATGTCATCACTCTGTCACAGAGGAAAATATGGAGCCATGGAGACTACAATTTGTCACCTAGCAAGGAAGTGACTGAGCTTAGAATGAAATACTGCTTCCAACAACTTGAAGCTGATGATTCATTGGAGGTAAAAGAAAGCAAATTGGAGAATTACTATCAGTATTAAAAAATCAAATAGAATTGGGAGGGGTAGGGGAAGGGAAAAAAGGGATAGGAAAAAATATGAGAAGAGGAAAAAAATGGAAACAAAGTCTTTGCAAATAGGGAAGGGTGGAGGGGGTGAAGGGAGGGCAAGGGAAGGGGAAAAAATAAGAACCAAGAGCCTCATGTAATGGTACAAGATCCCAATGATGAATGTAACTGTATTGTATACCTAAAATGTACCAATAAAGTTAATGGGGGAAAAAAATCAAATAGAATAAAAGAAAATTGAATAGAATAAAGCAGTACTGAAAACAATCAAGGAATCACAGATAAAGAATTATTTATTAAGCTTTTATTTTGAATACACATTTAAGAATTGTGGGGGCTGGGGATTTAGCTCAGTGGTTCTGGTGCCTGCCTCAAAAGTGCAAGGTCCTGAGTTCGATCCCCGGTACCCCCCCCCCAAAAATGTGTGAACTAATTCTTTATCTAGCATGCATTTCTTTTGGCTGTAAAAGTATGAAAATATACTATTTTAACATTAAAAGAAATAGTAGTGTGGGCCGGGGATTTAGCTCAGAGGTTTTGATACCTGCTGTGCATGTGCCAGGGACCTGAGTTCAAGCCCCAGTACCAAAAAAAAAGAAAAAAGAAATAGCAGTGTGATTTTAAAGAGGTGAATATCACTGCTTAATTTTTAAAAGATTTTATATAATGTCTATCATAGGATAAAAGATACATGTAGACCCAGAGCTAAATATTGTATTTTGTTTTTTAAAAATCCATGCTAAAATCAGAAAAACATCAGATTAGTCTACTTATCGGACAGATGGAACTCAACCAAACCAAACCAAACCACAGACACACAAAAATAAGGTAAATACATAATCTCATTTATTTTTTTCCTGAAGCACAAAGGAGCTCACTCAGGAATAACAATGAGCAAATCATACAAATAAAAGTCTCTATGAATATATATATATATATATATATATATATATTCTTAAGAGTAGCAATCAGGAATTTAATAATAATGTAAGGTGATTTTTCACTAAGGAATGCTTTCTAATGGGCTTTTGAGTAGAAAATGGACAGGTGAGTCACTGTAACACAATAGATTAGTTAAGAATGACATCTGTTACCCAAGTCACCTGCACTCCACAGACTGTGAAAGCTGTCTTGGAAGTTACATTTACTTTATCAAGGGCCTGACATTTGGACACTAGATCCACAAACCAATCCTTCAGCTCTCCATCTCTCTCACACGCAAGGCTGTTGGAGGGAAAGAGAGATGAAGCTAAGTGTGGAAACATGCACGGTGACCTATATCAGGGTTTTCTAATGGTCTTTTTATCTGTGCCCTCCTTTCCAGATCTTTAGACATTTCTTTATTGCCTTTTATTTGTGCACTACTGTCAGGTAAAAAGGCCGAAGACCAAGACCAGACCAGGCCACAACAAGCCCTTATTAGGGGAATAGACCTGCCGAGCTGTCTCTGAAGAAAGGAGAGACAAAAGCAATATGGCTGGGGCAGGGAGAGTGTTTTATAGAGACTGGGGTGGGGTTTGTAGGGGCTGAGGTGGGGTTGAGTGAGGTAGTGACTAAGGAATGGAGGAGCGGGTGATGGCACTAGGTGGTAGGAGGTGAGCAAGTATTAGGTTACTCTCTAGGTGGGAACAGGGGCATGCTGGGAAGAAGGGTTTGTTCTTTGGTGAGAGCAGCCATCTTGGCATGACGTCACACAGGGGAGGGGGCAAGGCACCATAGGAAGAGGGCAGCTACTATACATAATAGCTGCTGAGGTGGTGGGAGACCTATCAACTACATTATTAAATTTACAGACATTATAAGATACGAAGTCCAAAGTCATACCTAAAGCAGCTGGTGGGATCTAAAATTGCAGACAACACCTTTAAATCTCAAAGAAAAAAAAAACTCAAAAATTCCTGACAATCCTTATAATTTAAAAATAATTTCAAGTCATGACACACTGCTTAGTCTAACTTTTAATAGCTCAGGGGACTCTTTTTAGATATGTGAATGTTTTCAGTAGCATCACCAATTTAAAAAATGGACAATGAAAAGATGTCCAATAGCCTTCAGAAGATTCTAGTTCTGCCTATCTCCCATGCATACTGCAGGGTGGAACTGAAACAATGTGCCTTCCACCTTGCCTTTGAAGTTTTCCATCTGTCTGGTTCTGAGGTGAAAAACTTAAAAACAGGAAGAGTCTGGTAGGGAGTGAAGATTCAAATACATTGCGAGATCTCACACCCATTATGTTTCCTCTCTTAAGATCTCAGCAGCAGTTGCCAAGAGGGATATTCAAGGGCACACTTCAAAATCAGCTAAGCATAAAGGAGCGTGTTTCTTACCATTTCCTTTCCTGAAACTTGCACACTTCCCATTGAAGTAGAAAAGATATTCAACAGGGCTCAAGCTTCATAGCATTACTTGAGAAAGACCTCTTCCTGGCAAGAAGGGAACTTGTTTCAAGATATCCTCCTGAATTCTAAAACCTACGGACAATTAGAGAAGCAGCTGAGGAAATAAAGGAGTAGTGTCTCCTTTGTCTTGATTGATGACTAGGACAACTTCTCACACCCTCATCTTGTATTTGTCCTGTTTCCTTCTCTTTTGAAAACCAAAATCACCTGAACTGATGAGCCATCTTTTTTTGTTCTGGCTGCAAATATATTGTGTGAATGTATAGCAAATGATACTTGTAAATATGGTTTTACATTTTAAAGTGTACTCCATTGAAAATACCACAGTATAGGTATAGAGAGGGGATGATAGAGTTTTAATTCTTTCCTTTCAGAGAGCAAACTATTCAAACATAAAATGCAAAACAGAACTGGCTTAGGAGAATACTTCACAATTCAGAAAGTCAACCTACATTAGTCACATGCAGCATTTCAAAGTGCAGAACATGTGGCCCCAAGTATGGCTAATGCCCGTGGTACTAAAAAAAGCTTATTTAACACTCAGGAACACTGCACTTGGGGAATAAAACATTTAAGTTACAAAGGATGCAGAGAGATCAAAGTACATGTAAATATTTCAACACATTCCATTTTTACTAGAAAAGTTACTCAGTTAAGACACCATCAGGGAGGGGCCGGGGACTTAGCTCAGAGGCTCCAGCACCTGCCTCGAAAGCACAAGGTCCCGAGTTTGATCCCTGGTACCAAAAGAAAAAAAAAAAAAAAGACACTATCAGCGCTAAGTGGAATGTATGATGAAATGTTTGTGTATGGCCATTATTCTTGCTTCTGATGCTAATTTGTATTACTGCACCAGAATTCTAAGTCTAAATGAAAACTGATGCTTATCATCAAAATGTTCACCCTAAAGGAAGGTGAAAGCATAGGATCCTGCAAAGCCTGGAAGCAGCTATTTGCAATCACAGGCTTTTACACATCTCATCCAAGCACCTAAGCTATTCATTTGGTCAGACACCAGGTAACCAAGTCCCTCTGTCAGGGGATGAAAGCCAGAGGATAAAACATTTGCCAGCACTATACAGAAATGGGGAGAAACTTGGTGGAGCTACTTTGATGTGGCTTAGGAATTACAAACACTGGAAATACAGACTGACATTGGAAATCCCCAAACAACAAACTATGTTGTTTGCTTTAAAACATTTGTGTTCCATCATTAGATGTAGTGTGTATACAATCAAATCTGAAAGAGTTTCTACAAAGAAAAAAAACTGGGCAAATTACTACTGAATTAAAATGAATATGTGAAAATAATATTTACCCTACAGGAAAGGAAGTATGTTCTTAGTTGTGTAAATATGGGATTAACTATATTTTATAATTTTCTACTATAAGGTAATATTAAGGAGTTACATTCAAGTCCTAGGAACGAACATTATACTATATTGAGAAAATCTATTTCCTTTCCTTGTTTGTTTATATGTAGTACTTGGAATAAATTAGGAAACACAGGATTTAAGTAAGACACCAGTACTTTCTAAGAATGTATCCTAAGATCATAATGTGATTTTAATTCCAGGTTTTGGAAAAGGATACTTTGTTAGGAACCATAACATCACACTGTTCAATGTTCCTAGATGTGTAGTACAGATTAAGTTCTCCTAACATAAACATTAACTGGAATAGCTGGTTTTTAAAAATTATACTGCAATCTGAATGTCCAGGAAATTATTAAGGAATTAAGCAGACAATTGGATACAACTGAAAAACACAGCACTTTCAATATACAGAGTTTAAAGATTTTTAATAATATTTTTAACATAATTTGTCCTTCATTTTAAAGCTCTAGCATATTGATATTTGAGGATAACATCTCCAGCAACTACAGCATAGTGTTGGGTGGAATAGGCCGTTGCAAAGGAGCCTGTCCTGTCAGCATCTACAGCTCTGCAACACCCAATTACTCGCCCCAATTTATGAAGATGCAAATCTATACAACAATGGTTTATGGAATCTGTTTCTCTTATAATAAAATGAAGCAATTATAACATCACACAGTTACAAATTAAGATGATTTTAAAGTACACAAAATACAACAATTTATGCCATGTGGTTATATGAATAATATTCCTAAGTCAAACACTTTGAAGCACAAAACTATATTTAAAAAGCATGTGGCTTTCAATTTCTGATATTCATCCCTGAAAGAAGGCAAAACACAAAATCACATGTCTCTGAAATGCATATTTCTAACACAAGGTCAATCTAGAAATACATTTTGAAATTCAGTAAGTTGCCTTTTAAAATCGGTATGCTCTGGATATAATTTTCAAATACAATCTGAAGTTATTTTCCAACATTTGTTCACCATCTAACTTTTGCTCCCTCATAAAAATATACCCATGGGACCATTTTCAGTTCCATAATTTTCATACTTAATACCTCAAAATATCTAACCAGATAGAAATATCTTTTTTTCTCAGCATTTCCACATATGAAAAAGATTTTACTTCATTCTCATAATGAGCCACCATTAGCAATAGGATTCTCTTTTGCTAGAGCTTAAAGTCAATCTGAACAGCTCAAAAGATTTTCATGAAATTATGAACCTGCCAGCCAGAGCTGAGAGTAAGTACACTTCCTTCAAACAATTTACCAGGTGAATACACTAACTAGACACAGAAAGAGACCATCATCCCAAGAATGAGGTACTGGTTTTGACTTTCTGACCCTGCCTGGACACAAGGGAGATACAGAGCCAGGTCATCCCAGGAGAACCTTGTAGACAGATGCCCAAGGGTCTTACACTGAGCTAGAAAATGGAACCACCTGCTTTCCGCCCACGTAAACCTCCTCAATATTTCGGTCATCTCCTAAAAGAAAAAGAACAATTTGTTAAGCGCTTTGGTGTTGAAAATTATTTAATTGCCATTAAGAGAGATTTAGAACAAACCATTTTTTAAAAAATAGATCCATAAAAGCTGCCTTCCCCTCCTCCTTCTACCTCAGCTTGTTCATAATCTGGTCAGGACGACATGATCAGAAGATGCCATAAGCTAATCTGAGGATTAGGGTTTGAGCCCTGCACCTAAGGCAGAAATGACATCTAGTTGAAACCACTCCCATCTCTGTCCTTTCAGCTGAAGTGGTTGGTTTGCATTCTTAGCCCCAGTTGGAAAAGGAATATGAATCTTTCCACTGCAGAGTCATACTCAGCATGGTGACACAAGCAGCCTGCAGAAACTGAGCTCCACAGGAAGTGACATGTGCACCGCCAAGCAGCACTGAGCCCCTCGATGGAAGGTGAGGCAGAGATCCTTCTGCATTACTTCTTGTTTCTCTCTTGGTGAACAGAGTTGAAGAGAAGTACAGTGGAAACACATGTGGAGAGAGGCCAGGACATACCCACCACACACACAACGGGAAGGAGCACAAGAGGGTTGAAAGTCAAGATCTCCACCCCTTTGTCCTTCACTGCTCACCTTAGGACTTACAATGGCATGTTCTAGGGGTTCACGTGCATTTCAAATATGACCTTTAAAACATGTTTGATGCTGAGGTAAGTTAAAAATGAATCAAATCAGGCTAACATATAGGGTTTAGTATGTGGTGCAGTGAACACAGAGAACCGTACACAAGAAAAAGATTTTATTTAGCATAGAGACATACATGTACCTACCTAGATAGAAGAACTTCTGAATAATAGCCTAAAATGGAAAATAAAGATAATAAGAAATACCTGTAATATCTTGTATATTTACATAAGGAAATTCACAGGAAACTGGTTGGCAAAGCTGATATTTATTTCTCAATGTCAAAATCTATTTCTAGTAATTAATAGTCTTTCCCCCAAAGAAACAAACACAAACTTATTCCACTGGTTATCAACAAATATTTACCTATTGCCAGAAAGATATTGGTATGCAATGGTAAAATCTTCAGAGAAAAAGTATTATATAAATTAAAGAAGTTCATTTAATGAAATGATTCAAATATTTCAGGAAGTATATAAAATGAATAGGATTAAGTCCCATTCACAGAAATTCACTCTAGTAAAAGAATAAATAATATGACACTAATGATAAGAGTCAGGACATAGTACCTAAAAATTAAAGCCAAGAAGTTCATTCTGACCTGTCCTTCACCTTTCTCTCCTGAAGGAGGTGATCAAATCCAGGAAGAATGGTAACCTTCCCCTGAATCAGGTCATAAGACTCTCCCTCACGTGAGAGGTGGCCTCGCTATACTTAGTGGACAGGAGCATCCTTATTTCTACAGACAAAAGATCATGTAGAAGACCGAACAATCTAGCTTCCCCCAGTTTGGGATCATTAGATCATACTCTTCTTTACTGCATTTCTCCACAACTCTACATTCTTCATCACACTTAGAATAAAAATACTCAGGTTTTCTCATTTCTTTGGATTTTCATTTCATTAAGAAGGATCTTTTTTGTCACGTAAAAATAAATTTTCTGTTTCATCTGTCTTTTGTTGCAGGGACTTCAAGTTAAACCAAAAATGGTAGAGGAAGATTTTTTTCTCCGCTAAAATAATGAACGATACAAACTTGAAATAATCTAGCATTTTTCTTTTAAACACTCAGAATGATATATTTGTCTCATTTTTGATAGTAAATAGATCAACTTATAAATGACAACAGTTAATTCTGTTTTTGGAAAAACTATCTTATAAACAATGATTATTAAAGATATATTAGTTTATTATATTCATAATAGAAGATTTTATAATAAGAACAGAACCCATTTCCTTATAAGAAAACTGATACAGCATAGTGGTCAGGAGCACAGCCTCTGATGGCCAGAGAGTCCTCTGTTTGAATCTAAATTCTGCTAACTAATTACTAGCTATGAGTCCTTAGGTAAATCCTGTAACTTCTCCTAAGCCTCACTGACACTATAATTAACACAGGAATATTAATAGTACCTATCTCTCTTGGAAGTATTAATAAGAATTAAATTACAAAGAATTATGTCTGTGAGTGCTGAATCCCATACCTACCTAGCACTTAGAAGTGTTCAATGTAAGATAACTACAGTATGACTCCACTCCTTATAAATACACATAACCAGCTACACAAACACTCACAAAATACAAATATTTTGTTAATACAAATTTTTTTAAAATTTTTTGGTTTTTTGGGCCAGGGTCTCACTATGTAGTCCAGCTGGTCTTGAACTTGTAGCAATCTTCCTGCCTCAGCTTCCTGAGTGCTGGAATTACATGTGTGTGCCACCACGCCCAGCTAAATTTTCTTAACATTGCTCTCATGACATGGTAATAATTATCAAAGGGATCTAGCTTCTCTTTAAGATTTTCCTCCATCTCCATAGAATGTTTCAGTTTCTATTTTCGACAGGGAAGCTATTATGACTTCTATGAAATAAATGTCTTTTGATTAACTTTCTTTTACTTACATCAGAAGCATCACCAGTAAAATGCCCACAAAATAGGTCGATGGGAGAGTCAGATGCTTTGGGGTTGATCAGGAGGGCGTCAAATTCTTTCCCCACTTCAAAGTTTCCAATCTTACTCTCCAGTCCCAGGGCTACAGAGGGGAACAAGTGAGCACACAGTCAGTCCTGCAAGCCATCAGATCATGCCAATGGGCCGGTTTGCAAGGACAGAATCTGCCAACACATCACTAGAAAAAAAATTAGTATCTTAACAATGGGGCAGAAAAGTGCTCTCATTTGAATAGGTCACATGAATTCTACTTATAAAATCAGAGTAAACACAGGAAAGCAAAATCTGAGAATAAAAGCAGTTCCCTTGATCACCATGATTATAATTTCGATGGTGTCTATTTCAGCTCTAGCAGAGCACTTCACAGGCAGCTGGTCTATGCTTTTATAAGTCTGAGAAACATAACTGGCATAATATCTATCTTCTTTTTTCTCCCTCTTCTTCCCCAACACCCCATCTCCTTTCTTTGCCTATTTTTTCATTAAATACCTGACAAGATTTATTTTCATGATAGTGAAATGAACCATAAGTAAATAAAAAATAATTGTCCTTTTGTATATTTGCCAATGCAGGCATATCCATCATTAACTGTGCAGTTTAGATTCTTTGGATAGACAAAAACTCACTTGTCAAAGTGAACAGTTCCTCATAACTCAAGAGTCCCAATGGTTTTGAAAGGAGACTTGTAACTTCAAAGGTTTTCTAGTTGCTGGAAAGAATGATTTTCTAAAATAAGGCACAGGTCAATAATGTGTATTGACTTGGCCCATCTCACAGCTGTAATTCATGTCCATGATGCCAAGGAAGAACATCTCTCCTTTCTGTGATTTAATTTTAAAAGATAAGAGTAGATGGTTTTCCTGGTCAATGTAGGTATTGAAACTAAATCTCCTTAAAGCTTATAATTCAAGCAAGGTATACAGTGAGGTGACAGATGGAAACATACACAAAAGTAAGGTTAACTGGAGTGCAGCGTTATTTATTTCAATTTTTACATGAGATGGCTGCATTCTATTACTGTCAGAATATAGTTTGCTTTGAAAGTACTAAGTACATATGTTTCTGATACATTTTTTATGAATATATATCCAGAATCTTGGCAAGCCTGAAAGTATTGACTTAGAATTCTTATTCTTTTTTTTTTTGGTACTGGGGATTGAACTCGGGTCCCTGCGTTTATGGGGAGGGCGATGGAAACACTGACATAAATCCCCGCCCCAGAATTCTTATTCTTAAAAAATTATTTAAATGGAAACTCTTTTATTCTCAGAAAAGAAAAAGATTTTTTTTAATCTAAAAATTCTCATAGCAAGAAAGTGGTATGAAAATAATTAGAAATGTTAAAAGCAGTTAGATGACCTTCTAATTGTACAGGGAAGGGTTACATATGACAGAAAGATCCCTAGAAAGTTTTCTCCTTCACTGATTACACTCTACTTCTTTTTGCCTCTGACAAAGAAGCATAAGTTTTTAATGACTGTATTCAGCATTGTTTTCTCTTTTATAGGCCAGATAGCTAGGTCCATGTTATTAGAACCTGAAGAGTTCAAAAATGAGCTAAGCAAAGAAGACACAATGCTTTTAATGACTTTGTAAACCAATGTAAATTCAGATTTTTACAGATGGACCCAACTAGGCTGGTAAACATTTCAGGAATTGCAGTTTTTCTGCCTTTGGAGCAAATGTTAGCTACGTGGAAATGATTCATATACACTTTGATCTTCTTGAGGGTGTGTTTAAAGGCTGTGGCAGGGCTCAGAAAATGCCACACTTTAAACAGGAATCCATTCATCTCATTTTGTTCAAGAGACACAAGTTAAGGAGAAGAAATCCTGTAACAGTAACCCAGTAGCCCAGAAACACAGATTTAAAAGGTACATTGCAAGGCAGAAAGGATTTGGTAGGCATCCCGTGATGGCTTGATCAGAAACAGGATCCTGCTGGAGCAAATCACAGACAGCCTAGAATAAAAAAAGGATTTGTTAAATTCAACTTGCTTGCACCATGAACATAGTAGAACAACTTGAACCAAACTCAGATGTGTAACACCATGATAGTGTGGGTATGAAGGAGTCACACTTAATAAAGTGGGTGACTTGAAACTTAGAGTTTTCTTTATGGTGTTCATTACAACCTAGAACATTCAAAGAAGAGCTAAGAAGTTGCACTTAATAGGACAGTCCTAGCCCTTGGATCACCCTTCATTTCTAAGGCACAGAATAGCTACCATAAATTCTACATCTGTATATCTGTGTCTTTAAATTTTTTAATTTCACTAGTTACTTATGGTTTTATGCTAATTTCCATTCAGATTACACTATTTCTAAAATGACTTAAAGCAATATGATTACAATTTTTTAAATAAAAATACAGTTATACATAAGAACTGAGAAGAGCCGAGGAACAATATTTGCTTATAAGCCAATTATATATTTACATCTTTCTTCTTTGAAAGAGGCTTGAGTAGTTAGCATATTTAAATATATCAACCAAATAGGTATATGGTCTAGGTAGGATTTACATAGGAAGATATTATAGTGAAGGGTAGAAGATAAGAATCAGCTCTCTGGCAGTAGATTTTCTGGATTCAAATCATGGGATGTTGTAGTTTGTCAGCCTTGTAAATCTCACGTTTGTAAGGATTCAATGACAACATACATAAAGTGTATTGCATTCATGATAAGACCTTGGTAAGATCTTAGTAAGTCTTGGCTATCACTTTGACTTTTTATTAGTACCACTCAAGTCAATAGAAGGCAAATACTTGACTCAATGAAAGAATAGATTATTTTAAAGAACACAAATTCATGTGACCAATGTACATATCCATTAAAATGATTAATACAATAATTGTGTATCAAATATCTATTCCTCCAAAGACAGTGGATTCACCAAAAGAATGATTCCTCGACCACACACCTGAACATAAATTTTTCTAGCTAAGCTTTGGGTGGGTTATGGGAGATGTGACAGGCACAATGAATGGCCCTGATTCCACTATCATGGACCTTTACACTCTATCCCAGGATACATATTAGCATCATTGTACAATGTCTGAGAGAGAAATAAAACAGTCATTACCTTCACTTCCTCCAAGAGTAGCTAGTTTGAAGACATCTTTGAGGGAGAGGCTTTTCTCATTTACCTTATTAATTAAAAGGACATTGGAAACCATTATTGCTCTTCTGATTGCATCAAGCATGGAATATGAATAACCACCAGCCACATCTATAGTGGGCAAAACAAAGCCAAAACAGAGACTGTATGAGGAGAAACGGAATATTAGGTTTATACAATTGTCTTTATCTTCGTGACCACTGTTCCATCTTTAATGTACTTATAGAACAGCTCTTATGTATTAAACATAAGTTAGCTACAAATCAACATTTAAAAGACTTCGAAACCTATAATTAGTATCAAATGTATACCTACATTAGTTTCCTAGGATTGCTCCAATAAATTACTACAAGCGTGGCTTAACAAGAGCTGAAATTTCTTCTTTCACAGTTTTGGAAGTCAGAAGTCTAAAGTCCAAGGGCTGGCAGGGCCACTGTCCCTACAAAAGCTCTAGGGAAAAATCTTTCCTTGCTTATTGCAGTTTATGGCAGCTCCTGGAATTGTTTGGATTATGGCAGGGTAACTATAATCTCTGTTTCTGTTTCAAACAGCCCCTTTTCCTCTATGGCTTTATATGTCTCCCCTTTCCTGTTTCTTATAAAGATAGGTCATTCACTATTTAAGATTGATTTCATCTTGACATCCTTATCTTACTACAACTAAAAAGACCTTTATTCCCAATAAAGTCATATTTATGGTTTCTAGAAGACATTTTTTGGGGTGACAATTCAACCCCTTATAATAACAAACTGGTTAATAAAGCTAAGAGATTAATTTTTGAATATTCCCTAAACTCTCACAGAAATTGTTCAAATATACCCACATAATTTGAAAGATAATTTAGGTAACATAATATGTGATTTAAAATAAACCAGTTCTATATTCTAAAAACTTGTCCTAACTTTATTTTAATTGAGATGAGAATTTTAGAAAATCCAACAATCTATTCATTCTTTAGGATGAACATATATTTTGAGAAGTGAGTAAATTAACCAAACAATGATGTAATCAGATTTCTACATTGGCCGGCATCATGAAATGAGATTTTTAGTGATTTAAATAAAGTCCCTAATTATAATTAAATTGAAATACTACCTTTGAGAAGAACAAACATACAAGGTATTAAATGAGTCTGTATAAATGTCAAGTAAGTTACCATGTTTTACTAGAATAACATACATTTATAGCTAGTAAAATAAAACTTTTTAAAAGGGTTCCTTCTGTCATTTCTAGGCAGACATATATAATTGTTTAGATATATAGCAAAGATCAAAAATTAACTTCCTGTTTAAAAATAACTATAGACTGCAGCTCAATTTTTTTTTTTTAACTGTCTTACATCTCCTTAGATAAACTTGTATGGAAATGATATAGAAACTGCTTTTCTCTAACCAGAATGATATTGCCAGAGGATTACCCAGTTCCCTGAAAAGTTTATTACATCTATTTGTTATTAGTCCTTGTAAGGAGATAGTAACCATCCATTAAGCATTCATCATTGCATTATTATTATAAGTTAATTAAAAAGAAATAAAATGATATAAAAAAGAAAATCAATGCCAAACACCTAATAGCCAACCAGTATTAACTGTTATCCTACGTATAGAATTAGTCTCGAAATAATTAATCTTCAAAATAATTCTATATCTCATATCATCAACCTCATTTTAGAGAGAAACAGCAAAGTACAACGACAAGTTACACTGCCATTTGTCAAGGTAACTTGCCTCCCCAGCTAGTGGGAGAGCTGGAATTTGAACCCAGGCTGTCTTAACATTCTCGTAATATCTTCTCTCCAAAACAGAATGTTGTCACACCCGATAATTGGCAAATTTACGTTGGAAACTTTTAGTTGGAGAGCTCTCTGGGGACTCTTTTGAGAAGCTGATGAATCAAGCTCAACAGAGAGGGGACTGAAAAGTAGCCAGCATCAGGAGGAGACAGTGGTTTGAGATGAGGCTGGGAACTTTGGAGATTTGTGGGCCTAGTGACAAGGATACACACACCAAACCCTACCGAAGAGTGGTGAGCACAATAGGTAAAGTCATCAGACTTTTGTAACTCTTCTGAAAAAAGAAGAATGAATTACAAGGGACCAGAATGGATCATTGGAAGGTAGTGTAGTGCATCAGCAAGAAATGATGGCAGCTTGTGGCAGATGGTGGTGGCCCATGCGGGAAAGGAGATTGTATTCAAAAGATGAGAAGGAGTCATGAGACTGGGCATTGTGCTAGGTTAGGTGTGAGAGAAATAAGGGAGAAGGTCCCAAAGATCATACTATAGTGTCTAACTGGAGAAAATGAACTCTCTAAAAAGGAGACCTAGTTAAGAGCGGAAGTCTTAAATATGTTCTATGGCATAATGAGGTGTTGATGTTTCTTCAAGAGAGGCCAAAGAGGAAAAGGCAGGCAGCTGAAAATGCAAGATTAGAATTCAAAGGAGGAGTTAGGGTGGCAAGAAAAATCAGAGAGTCACTTCCCTATGAGTAGTCAGATGGAGACACAGTTGTGGGTAATCTTCCTAAGAAGAAAGTGTCAAGAACAGAGGAGACACTAAGACTGAGCCTTGAAGGAAGTTTTTTCAAATAACTACGAAGAGGAGAATAAGAGAGGAAAGAGCTGGCAAGAGAGGAAGAAGAGAAATCATAACAAAACTGTTTCAATGACTCAAACATAAGACTTTGGACCAATGAGAGAGAGGTCAATGACCGCAAATGCTGCTGAGATCTCTAGTGTGATAAGGACAGACTGGCATCCCTTGGAGGCAGCAGCAAAGAGATCACAGTGGTAGCAGACACCAGAGAAAGGACAAAGGCTTTTGCCATGGAGGGTGGGCCAAGAGTCTAGGCAGAAGAGGGCAGAGGGATGAAAAAGCATCTCAGAGGTGGCAGTGTGTGTCCTCAGTCTTGGAAGGAATGTTGTGGTGAAGGGAAGCAGAGATGTGGGCAGAAGCTAGAGGAGGACATCTGAAGAAAAGGAAGGTGTGTCTCTGCATAGAAAATCTCAGAAGCTACTCAAGATGTTTGTGCACTCCTAGGAATGATCCAGCAGATAGCAGGTACTGGTGATGCAGGATAGTGGCTGGAGGAATTTGAGATAGTGGGAGTGGGAAAGTACACAAAACACAATTCAGGTAGTTTTGTATTTTGCCTTTGATTCCAATATGTGCTTTATTTTTCTTTTTAAAGCTGTAGCAGGAAAAAGAAAATTCCAGCCGATGTAGGTAGGCATGTAAATGTGGTGGTGGGAATTTGAGGGAACAACTTCTGATTGTTTTGACTTTGTAATGACTTAGGAGACTGTAAGTTGGGAGTGAGAACAGTATGAGCTGGGGTAAAAAGTTTAAGGATAAATGAAAAAAGGCTGTCTTGGAAAAAGGAGAAATGTGCTTATTAGAGTAACATAGCTGCCTCTATTGCTAGTGCTGAAGGTCACTTGGGATTTGATGGCAAAATTTAAAATAAGACACCACTGTGTGTGTGTGTGGGGGGGTTGTTTTCCAGCAACTTCCAGATGCCTAGCTGCAGGCACTGAGAAGCAGAATTGCTGAGGTAATCAAAGGTTGGGCTTGTGTAAAGTGAACACAAAGAAAACAAGAGGGATATGAAAGGTGAGGATGTTTCCAAGGGAATTACAGTGATGATTACACCTATCTAGGAGGGATAGACAAGAGAGGGAATAATGGATTTCGTGAAAATGTGGACTCACTGGATTGAAGTCCACAAGGAGAGCAAGGAATTGCTGATTTAACAGTGATGGAACAATCAAGGAAATCATCTCTACAAAGTGAGATACTGACTCATGTAGGATATTTGTTTTAATGAATTTGTATGTCTTGCTTATCCTAATTCATTCTATAGTTTTATATATTTCCTTCTGATTGCTGTTTTTGGATTATTCACTCTTTGGGTTTGCTTTTTTGTTTTCTTCATATTTCAGATATGAGGTATTCCATTTTTATAAGTCTGCAAGTAGTTATCTTTAATACAGGTTGAGCACTCCTAATCCCCAATTCCAAAATACCCAAGGCCCTAAAACACCACAAGTGGAAAAGATGTTCCTACACTCATTGTAATTTGTGAATGAACTGTTCCTGGAGCTCCTCTCGGTCCATAGTATGAATTTAAATATTATCTAAAGTCCACAAGAATAGGAAAAATTGATACATAAAAGTTATGTTTAGGAAACAGCAGAGCACAGGGTGGCTACTGGGTCAAAGACTGAGTAAAAATGAAACAGCATTCTTCAAGGTAATAAGGTATTAACCTCATATTCCTCAAACATTTGGTCAGTCCACCAAATCTGCTCCTTCCTTTTTAAGCCAATCTTGACTAAGTAGTGCTTTGTGGCAGGTCTGTGTTGATCATTTTGCAAGCAATTTTTTCACGTAATTTTCAAAACAAGCTTATAAAATAGATATGGTTATAATTGCTATTGTTATTGTTAAATAAATCAGGAAGTGAACCTTTAGTATTTAATTTGCTTAAAATCTTACTCTTATGAGCTAAAGGTTTCTTTTTTTCCTGGTACTGGGGATTGAACTCAGGTCCTTGCACTTTTGAGATAGGTGGCATAATCACTGAGCTAAATCCCCAGCCCCCAAAGGTTTCTTTGTTCACACTTTTGGTACTGGGGATCGAACTCAGGACCTTGCGCTTTCGGGGAAGGCGCCAGAACCACTGAGCTAAATCCCCGACCTCACACTTTTGAAGCTACAGCTATACAACCCAAAGTCAAGAACTGGAAGTCATACATTGAATTTAAAATATGGGAACTAAATTCCAGAGAATCTAAGGATAAAACCTATCTTATTTTTTGTGTATTTACCTAATTTTTCATATTAATTAACTATATTATCTTTTCATATTAATTGACTCTTGGGCATTCTTTCCTTAACCATTAAAGCTTTCCTTTGAAAGCAAAATATCTAGTTTTAGACCTTAACACCTGTTAGTATATTCAGGTATTACCACCCTATCAGTGACATAAGGCTTGAATTAGAAAATTTTAAGTTACTTTGATTCTACGTAAAATTTAGGAACATTAATGTCCTTTAAAAACATAATTACAATAATTATGCATATTATTGTATTTTACGAAGTAACTGCTTCATATGATAAAATGTCTCACTGTGACAAAATGAGACTGAAGTTATTGGTGAAAATGATGGGATCATTAGTGTTGACATGCACACAGCCTGAGGGTTTTAAATACCAGATAGACAAATGCATTGAGAACAGAATGGAAAATAAAGATAAGTACTGTACAGCTGAACTCATATTTGGAATCTAATAAAGTTGATTTCATAGAACTTGAGAGCAGAATGTGGTTAAAGAGACTGGGAAGCATGGAAGGAGGAAGAGATAGGAAGGTTATTGGTAAATGGGTACAAAATTACAAAAAGAAAGACAAGTAAGTTCTGGTGTGATACTACAGATAACATACTGTGTATTTTAAAAAACTTGGAAGACATGATTATGAGTTATTTCACTACCAAGAAATGATCAGTGTTTGAGGACACAGATATGCTTGCCCTGATTGAAACATTATGCAATGTATACACGTATGAAAATGCCACATGGTACCCCATTAATATGTATAATTTTTATGTGTTGATTAAAATTTAAAAACAGAAATAGAAGAAAAGTCTTTGTGTCCCATACAGTCCCTTTAAATTTTTTTATAGTTATTTCTTAAGTAATAAAAGAAGGCTCATAGCAGATACCTAGACATTTGGGCCTGACTCTCACATTGAAAATGAACAATAGCCTCTATACTCAGGAAATACAACCAAAATGCACCTGAAAAAAACAGGCCTCATGAAGCAGCAGCCACCTTGAATGTCTTTCAGTCAGTAATTATCAGACGCCTGTTAGAAGCCAGGAGCGTCATTCGGCAAAACTGCTTAAAGCAAAGCTTGTTCTTACCCTGTCTCAGAGTTCTGGGATGCTGGCGGAGACTGAATGTGGTCACAATGGCAAAGTCAAATAAGTTTTCTCTTGAGATATTTGTGATGGGCATAGTTTGAAAACGTACAAACACAAAAATCTAAATCACTAAAACCTAGCCAGAAGGAGACAAATAAAAAAACTAAGGACTTTTTTTTTTTTTTTAAAGAAACTGTAGGGCTGGGGATTTATCTCAGTGGCACCAAGCCTGCCTGGCAAGCTCAAGGTCCTGAGTTCAATCCTCAGTATAAAAGAAAAAGAAACTGTAAAACCCTTTAGAAAGATTCATAACCCAATCTCTAAACAACAAATCAGGACCATGGCTGTGTGTGTGTGTGGGGGGGTAGTGTTAGTATCATTAAAACTTCACTCTCTGCATACATGTTCTTACTGCTTCCAATCAAACTGCTTGGCTAGACAGTTATTAAGACATCACTATCAAATAATGAATCTTATGTTTCTTCATCATACAAGAGTTACCTGCAAATCAGTCACCTAAGAAAGTCATTCCCTAACGGACCATTTTGCCACAGCTCCATACAGTGAACTACTAACCTGTCCCCAGGCCTATCTTCACTTTATGTTTCAGGACCTGAAGCACATTTAGAAAGCCACTGTGGAGCCTGTAGAGAGAGAAGATGTCAAGTAGACCCATGTGATTCCAACAACAGAAGGATGCTAATAGTAACAGTGATATCACTGAAAATTGCATTTTCCATTAATACCCACTCTAATGCTGACATAAATACGTTAGTCAAATCAGACCATCCAACTACATAAAGAGCTTATCCTTGGGTTGAGGTTACACTCAGAAAGGTACAAAGAAGCAAGAGCCAGAAGGGAAAGCAGATCACTTATATGAAAAAGAAGAAGAAGAAGAAATTAAACTTTGCAATTAGTCCAAAAGATTTTGGTTTTTTTTTTGGTACTGGGGACAGAACTCAGGACCTTGCGCTTGCAAGGCAGGCGGCAGAACCACTGAGCTAAATCCCTGGCCCAGTCCAAAAGTTTTATCTGTTGTAAATATTTTTTAATCAAGTCATCCATCTTCATTAGAAAGCAGAAACTATAGTATAAAGCTTCGTCCTTCCTCTATGACTAGAACAAGAGGTAACCCTGAGTAAACAGTGATTTGTGTTAGGACTCAGAAAACATCCCAGACAGTGGTGCTTTGGGCTTCAAGAACTGTCTCAAAAATCAGTCTGTCTCCGACTGTCTTCTGGCCTCCTGTTTCCTGGACTTCTTTCTCCCTTGCAAGGCTAAACATAGAAACTGGAATTTCTTAGGGCTGGGTGTAGCTCAGTGATAGAGCAGGTACTTCACATGTGCAAGGGACTAGGTTCAATCCTCCGTACCAAAAAAACAAACAAAAAGCTCTCTTCTTCAAGCTTAGTCACAGAAACTTGAAACTTGTTTCGCCAAAGCAAGCCATAGAAGCTAGAATATTGCTCTAATCTTCCCTCTTCATCCCATCTTGGGGGCCATGAAGAAATTCTCTGACCTACCAGGCCTCGGAGAAGGCTATGAGATGCCCATGTTACAAGGGCCTGAAAATGCTGCACGGAGAGGCCAAGAAGAACCTGAACAGCAGGCTTTGATGGGCTTTCTCACTCAATCTCTTAGCATTACGTAAATCTTTCCTGTCTAATAACATTTCTATATGGTTGTCCATGCTTCATCAAATCAAAACAAAAACAGGGAGAAATCTCTGTCTTTTCATCTTCATTCTAAAGGCTCTTGTGCAGCTAAAACTTTGATTAAATCTATTTGTTGAGCTGGTGTCTTTTGTGTTAGAGGATAGGAAATGACCCTTATGCTGATGAGAAAAGGTACCAGCCCTGCCGGGAGGGTACAACTACTAAAAGGGGTACAGACTCATAAGTCAAGGCCTGAGAGTCTAGATGCTGCTGCTGAGAACAGTACTGAGAGGGAGAGAAGGTTCCTGGGCTGATTTCTGGACCTCATGACCTTCAGCTTAAGAGGTGTGCACCTTTCTAAAAAGACAAACTAAAGCATATCCTTAGAAGTCCAAAAAGATGCAAAGGTCAAAGTGATCTGTTCAAAATGCACATGAATATATAAGCCCCAATGACACATAATAAACCTCTCATAGTTGTTAGAGAATGGTAAGCAGAAATGTATCCTTTTGAAATTTAACTTCAAACCTAAATCTGCAAACCTGGATCATGTTTTAATTTAGAGGATGTTGTATAACTCATCCAAAGAATGTTAAGTTTTTTCCCTATGGGGTCACAAGGCCATAATTAAGGTGACATATGCAAAATTTCTTATCATGGTGCTATTCAAATGGATACTCTGCAAAAAAATCCTCATTTTAACTGCTCCTTTTTTTCCTGCACCACAGCAGAGTAAATGTCCACCTATCAAGTTCCTATCCCAATCAGATGTAATGATAAAAGACACATCCTGGAGGGATGAAATGACTCAGAAAACCAAGATGTCTGGTGGCCTACCTGCAACCTACACATTCATAGTTTACCAAACTATTATCACCTACTTACGATAAGTTAGAATTGGGACAATGTGAGATGGAAGCTCCTCGTTCATGGAATATGTCCAGTTCTTCTGCAGAAAGGTAGCAGCCATGCGCCATCACCGTCTGGAGAGAAGATGTCCGACATGAAGTTCATCACTCAAAAATACATACACCAGTACTCTCTCACAAGGAGATATTCTTGGGAGAGAGGAAAGCTGTGACTCAGCTGTCACCCTTGTTACAAGAATAATTACAATTATTTGCATGTACAAAATTCCTGAGTATAAATCTTATACCTCCAGAAAATGCATTTAAAAACATTTTATCACAAAACTCTCAGCCAATTTGTGGATCTTACTTTGGTTTCTTTTTTGTTGTTGTTGTTGTCCTATAAAATAGTGAGGGTTGGTCTAGGTAACCTGCAAAATAAGATACCCTACCAGTTTGAAGTAGTTGGATATCCTATTCTATCATTTCTGCTTTAGAAAACTGTCAAGTTGTTTTCTTTTCTAAGTGTATGTGGTGAGCCACTGGTAGAGCTATGCTTATTCCAATTCTAATCAAAACTTTCTAGAAATATGTGGTAGCTGTGAGAGTGATCCTCCAAGAATCGTGCTTTATTTCTGATCATAGATCTAACGTAGTACCAGTGGTCTTAACACATACCACCAAATAAATCTTAACTCACCCATATTCATGTTTTCATAAAATTAGGCAGTCTAACATAAGCATTAATTTAGAAAGTAAAATTGATGAAAGAAAGCAGACATTGCATATATGTGAGACCTCTCCAAAGTTTTAGTCTTGGTAAAATTTGTGAGTTTTCCTGAATAAGACTTTACTCTTCTAAAATTCTTTTCCTCTCAGTAAAAAACCTATATCTAAATAGCTTTCTCTTTGAAAGTCATAGTTCAGAGACCAGAGAATTACCATTAAAATAAAACCTTCCCAACCTCATGCAAATTGAGGGTTAATTCATTAGTTGTATGGAAATTGTGCAGAGGAGGGTGAAAATTATGATGTAGCATTCATGTGATTTACACAGAGTATTATCCTTTTGAAACAGTTACAGTCATATCTCCTGCCACATGCTCATTCAGAAATTTTTTGCTGCAGTAAATCCTCCATGCAGTTTGCACATTTCAAAGAAGGCCAAAGCCAAAGGGTATATTATTGTAATGAGATTTCTTATCATTCATAATAATTTTAAATAATTATAAAGATAATACATACTATTTTTTAACATCTTAAGAGTTTAGAAATGTTTTTGCTTTCTCCCTCAGGAAGAGCTTCTTTTAACATTCAGTGCATGCCTTCATGCACTTTCTGCCAAGTGAGAACACACCTACACATCAGAGCACATCAAACTCTACTGTGCATTCTTCCCTGGAAGCCTGGACACTTCATTCTTGGTGAATGTTGGACAGAATTCTAATCACGTATGTTTTATAATTAAACAATCCTCTACCGATGGTCATTTAAAATTTTTCATATGTAATTACTATCCCTATTTTTTTTTTTTTTTTTTGGTACCGGGGATCGAACTTGGGTCCTTGCGCTTGCGCAGCAGGTAGCGAAACCACTGAGCTAAATCCCCGGCACCTACTATCCCTATTTTTAATCCTTACAGAAAGAATACTTGAAATGCATTTGCTGGGCAACCCACTTTCCGGTCCCCCTGCCATCTCTCTTAGAAGCTCTCTTTCTCTCATTAAATTTGTCCTACTCTTAACCTCCATTGTTCCAAGAATTCATTCTTTGATTTTAGAAAACACAAACTTGGCCTTTCCGATATCTAGCAGAAATGCATCTAATGTTCTGGATTTGATTTAGATTCAGCCACCAGACATGAAAAGCGAAAACCAAGAGAAAGATCTGTGTCTGAGGGTATTAAGCATAGAACAGGAGCCATGACAGCACAGGTTTGTAATTAGCTTATAGAAATGTGAATAACCATAAAACTTCTGCTTCTATAATTTTAATACATTACCATGGAATGCCTTCTTTTTGTGCAATAAAACAAAAGCTACTTTTGGTTTATCAAAATTTTGAGAAAATAAGAAACATGTAAAAATACACCAAAGTTTGAAAAACAATAGAAAATTCTGAACAACATCATTGAGAAATTGAGCTATCAGAATGTTATTAGGCTGAAGTAAGATTTTAATGATTTTTTTTTCTTTTGGTAACAGGGATGGAACTCAGGACCTTGCATTTGCAAGGCAGGAACAGCACCACTGAGCTAAACCTCCAGCCCAAGATTTTAATGACTGAAATTTAAAATTCCAACTGTTATCCCGGGGATTTAGCTCAGTGGTTCCGCCACCTGCCCTGTAAGTGCAAGGACCCAAGTTTGATCCCTGGTACCAAAAAAAAAAAAAAATCCAATTGTTTCTGAGAATAACAATAATAATAGTGTTTCTGGTCAATCTGCTATAAACACTAGTAAAACTGTTGCTTTCCATATAATCAAAGCCCTTTTCCCAAGGTTCAGATGAGTATTTTGTTTTCCTACATAAACTGTTATTTACAACTATGTTTACATGTGTACATATTTATAATTTATAACTGACAGACACTAAAGGGGCAGTGTAGAAATTTTAAACATTCTTTTTTTTTTGGTACTGGGGATCGAACTTGGGTCCTTGCACTTGCACAGCAGATGACGAAACCACTGAGCTAAATCCCCGGCCCCCAAACATTCTTAAAGTGTTTAATAATGAATACCATAAAAAGTGTCTTTCTCACAAGCCTACAAGCATTACCTACTTTCGATACCATATATGGCACACACACCCAACCTACATCAAAGAGCTCTGCTATATTTAAATGTGTAAGAACATAGGGTCTCTTCTATTCCAAAGTGTGAATAAAGTGAATATTTTAAAAATATTTAGATAACAAAGAAGGTATTAATGGAAAGGGAATTAAAGAAATATATTTATTGGCTCATGTAACAGTTTTATTTTATTAAGGATTATGGATTATTTTTGTGAGGGAATTTTTAATGTCAAGGCTGTCTTCAAAGCAAATTTTGTTAATAAGATGCATTTGTGACCTTAGTATTAATACAATCATGCAAAAACACATAACAGATTCACACTTAAACAAAAAAAATGGAAAAAACTGAGAGGCAAAGGAAAAACAATTTTTGTTAAAGAGTTTGCTTGTGTCTATAAGATACTCCTTTTATTTTGTGAACATGCCTTTTTTGGCACTATAATCAAATACTTTACAAAATTGCAAGAAATGCCACTATTAGGCTATTTACGTTTCTACAAAAACATCCTCATTAAGGTGCATCTATTATTACAAGTCAACCAATGACTGCTAATATACACAACAATTTTGAACCTAGGCAAATATTTGATAACTTTCATTAGCATATTTCAGGGACATAAAGAGTATTTTTAAATATTGAAATAAAAATGAATTTTATCATGAAAAAAAAAAGAAATGCATTTGCTGACTCAAAGGAAGGCACATTTACATGCTAATGGTACTGTCAGACTGTTTGGAACAAATGATGTCTCACTGTGGTAAGGAGCCTTAGAGTTGACTGGGGTGAAACCACACACACACACACACACACACACACTCACACTGGATTTTCTGCTAGTGTGGTATATGAATGCATGTCACAAAAGTCTGATAATCACAACTGAGATTTTAAGGTTTAGATAAATGTACCTGACTTCACATACATTATGTCGTGAAACAGAATGTACCTTATCTGTTAGAAGATTATTTTTATCATAGACATCTGTGTAGTTCTTATAACTGGGGAACAAGTTTTTCACTGCTTCAACTTCATCCAGAGTTTCACTTATATGGCTCTGCAAGAAAAAAATTAGCATTTTTACATTTTTTTTCCTGTAAAATATTAGAAACTACACTTCCTCCAAATTCTCTTTGATTGGTTCCTAGTTGCTGATATAGGGGACCATATAGTATATGGGTTTATTTAAAATAATTATATGCATAATATATAACAACATATGATCAAAATACTATGAAGAATACATGTGTGTATAATATCAAGACAAAATTTTTCAATAGTCTTTTGCAATTCCAACTATAGTAAGAAAAAAATTCAAAGTACTCTGTAAAGTGTGTCAATAATTCAGCTATTTGTAGCAACCTGCCTTTTCTGGTATTGGCCATTTAAGAAAGAGTGTATCACAAGACATATAGCATGGCTGGAATCTGAGCAAAAAAGCTAGAGGTGTAGCCAAAGTTCCAGCTCTAGTTACCACTCTTAGGTGAAATAAATTCTTTCCTTTGGGCCTCCCTTTTCTTGTTTCTCAAATAAAAGGGTTGGGCTAGATGAGTGATTTTCTAAATTCTATTACCTGCAGGTATATTATTCATACTTCATGTTTGCAAGTCATAGGTATCTAACATGTAAAAGGCAAACACAAGTTGCCCCTCAGAATGATAAGGATTGGGCCTCCGGGACCCTGTCCCTAATCTGTCCCCTTTGTTGTTTTTCTCAGTGAGTTCCCCTGCAAAAACATAATTTGAAAATAACCACGGTGAACAATTCTACTCTCATCAAGAAAGAGTCCACAGGAATCCACATGTAAGCAAAGCAAATGAATCTGAGGCCCACATGCTGACCTTTCTCCAGGTCATGTAGCTTGAGAGGACATAAGGCATTTTTGAGATACAACACTTAAGAATAACCACTCCAACTCACAGCCTAAAAGAAAGATCCTTTCAGAGTACTTATGATAAGTATATATTATGGGCAATAACAATGAACACATGAAAACTTCCAAGAATGGCAATGCCATTTCTCTTTCTCCATAAGGGAGACTATGCAGAGCCAGAAAAATGACAGGAAGAGATAGCAATATTCTACAAACAGATGTTCCACCTAGACAATGAGCTCTATCTCTGGCCTTGAGAATCTCAGATCACTGATGAAAGGCCTGAACATAGGAAGAGAAAGGACAATCAGATATTTCATATCATTTTGGTACATGAGAATAAATACAGACCTCTATACTGACCCTAAGCAAGAACAGACCTTGTTGCATGTATTTTCCATTTTAGTTTTTATATCTTCGTAAATGTTTTTTGTACTTTAGTTTATAAGGAACAGAAGAATTTGATGTTAAAAGAAGAAACGTCATCTAATTTTATCTCCAGGAGATAACTGTGTGGGATTGAATCCAAAATTCAAATATCAGACACCAAAATTAATAAAAATAGGAAAAACAAGAATAGGTAATGGGACCTAAGAAGACGAATTTTTTTAAAAACCTACAAAATGGTAAAGGGTCAATAAGTTGCCATTACCTTGAGTTGCCCTTTCTTAAGATAGTCAACTCTTCAGAGGAGAAATTTTAGTACGGTATGTAATTAAGGTGGATGAGGAGGAAAGGGAGCTCCCAATTTAATTCAAGGTTTTAAAAGTGCTTTATACCTAAATTGCAACAATTTATATATATCCTGATTTTAAATTAAGAAACTCAGAACAAAGGGCTTTGCAGTTCATTTTTGTAAGGTAGAAATTAGGTTCTTTTTGTTTTTTGAAATAGCAGCTGATTCCTCCAAGAATGAGGGTATAGAACACAGAGAAGCTGTCAAATAAAAGAGAAGCAAGAAAGAAATGCATTTAGGGTATCATACAGAGACTAGGTAAACAGTACATCACTGACTTTGCTATTGATCACAAAGATATTTCAATCTCTTGAAGACTGACTGGAGAACACTGAGAATGAAAGGAATTTCAGTTTTATTACCTGCGAAGTTAAAGAACTGGATTAAGTGACATCTGGAAGAGCACTTCCTGCCCTGTAATGCTTTGACGCTAAAAGATTTCAGTGGCAGAACTGGAGATCATGATTTAAGGTAATCGGAAATCTTTCAGGTCTAGACAGAGGCACAACCAGAAGAACAATACCTACCTGAATGTGCAACTCATGGGCCTTAGCAATGCTGCCAAGTTCCCCCATCAAAGTCTCAGAGCAGGAAAGGGCAAAACGTGGTGTCACTATGGGCTTCACTCTGGAATACTGGAAATAACAAAAAACAACTGATAAGGAAACTGTAGACATCATGAACATACAGCATACTCCAAAATGCATGCATATATATATATATATATATATATATATATATATTAAAAACACACACAGCAAGTTAATTTTACATCTGCATTTTTGAGGGCAGTTCCCTATTCTAAGTCAGTTTCATGGAAACAACTCATAACTGAAAATAATGTATAATATATTCTACAGTACTAAGGTTAGCAGAAGAAAAACTTGTCCCAAATGAAAGACACTTCTCTCCTTTCATTAAAGCCCAAATGAGGTCTAGAGTGGGTGGCCTTTCTGAAGAGGACTGGAGGCAGAAAGGACCATGCTAAGGAAACTACAAGTGAAGCAGAAGCCTATTTCCTTTTCCACATCTCGGGGAGGCATGCTGGCCACAGCTTATTGGACTGTAGGATCAGCTCTGGTGCCGCCTAAGGTGAGAGGCTGGGCAGGAGAGAAGAACTCAGAGAGAGGTGGTGAGGATAAGGATCTACAAATTTCCACCTAATTCTCCCAAGGTTCAATCAGAAGAAATTCTGAGCATTCCTGTAATTTTCATTAAGATCCTAAAAATGGTAAGGGAAAGATCAAGTTAGTCTAAGAGATGATCTCCTGGAACCATGAACCAGCCTGCTGGCTTGGAAACAGGAAATAATTTTGTCTGCAGAGGCTCACTAATGCCAGGACACTGCCAAAGGCATTTCTGGTGGACTATGTGCCAGCATCTGACAGACCACACATGTATGGGCAAGGCAGCCAGTGCCTCAGGGCACCCAGACCAGACCAAACAGCACCACACTTTCTAGATTCCACCTATTACCCACACCTATGAATCGCTTTCCCTCCTACCCAAAGACCAGTCCTGTGATTAAAAGGTGCTAGAGGAGAAAGACACTCAACTCGGCAATGATGGAGATTTTCAAATGTGAGTTCAACAAACAGCTTAATGAACTTGGGATCAATTCATTTCACCTGACTCAATTTCGTTTTCTTGTAGCACATGGGCAGGGGATTTTGTAGACAAGAAGTTTTGTGGCCAAGAAATGTACCCATAATTATAGAAATAAAACAGACTTCATGTTTGCACATATATGAGTGGTGATTAATTAAATTCACTAAAATCAGTTAGTACTTCCTAATTTCAATGTTATGTGTCAAAAACAAACAAAGAAACAAACACAGGTCTAGATGTAGGGTTGCACCAGCCTTCACCAGAAAGAAAAAAATGCCTGACCTCTGTCTCTATGAGCTCAGCTTTTTTAGATTTCATAAATCCATGAGTAGTCCATGTGTCATTTGTGTTTCTAGGGCTGGGTTCTTTGACCTAGCATAATGTTTTACAATTTATGCATGCTGTAACACAGGCAAAATTTCCTTTTATTATTGCTGAATAACATCACATTTTATACACACATATATTATATATCTATATGTACATTGTATGTACATACATAGAGAGACACACACTGTGTGTGCATATATCCATTCGTTTGCCGACATACTCTTATGTTATTTCCATATCTCAGCTATGGTGAATAATGCTCTATGAACATAGGAGTGAAGACATCTCTTTAAGATACTGATTTTGTTTCCTTGGATAGATGCCCAGAAGTCAGATTTCTCAATTATATGGGGAGATATTGGTCAAAGGGTATAAAATATCAGTTATATAATGAAAAGATTCTAGTATCTGCAGTTTTGGTGTTAATTTAACTGTGATCATCATTAGACAATAAAAAATGTATCAATTCATCCTATTATACACACTAAATATTTATAATAGTTATTTGTCAATTAGATATTTTAAAATTTAAATGCCTGACCTCACTGAGATGAGTTCTCGGGTCCACAATGACAATTTAAGGTTCTAGAAAAATACTTCCTCAGGCATAGAATAAACTAAAGGCACACAGAGTAATCTCTATAAACTTAATAATGCATCCTACACTAATAAAATGGTAATGCAAATGTAAGCTCCGAACGGTCTCACTTACCTTCTTTTCAAGCATTTCTGACACAAATCTGGAACAAAGGAACAAATGGGAAGTTAGAAAATGTAAGTATTTTCAAATAAATGTATTAAAAGGGCACAAACATGCCCCTTACATGTCCTGATTTTCTTTGAAATATTTCTAATGCTGCACTTGCTTCATCACCACTAACTGAAGTTTAACAAGTAGTAATCACTCTGATTTCTTACTTGCAGCCATTCTAGCATCAGTTGGGCTATTCATGAGTATTCCTACACCACTCAAGCTGTTGTACCAGCTCAGACTCTGTGGGGGAACACTGCAATATGCTGGACTCTGTGGATACTGGAGTCAAAGAGCTCTATGCACATGGAAGGTACTAAGAAGCTATGGGGCTGTCTATATCCAATTTTCCTAATGTGGAAGCTACTGGTTCACATAACAGCAGCACTTACTTCCAAGGCCAGGGTCCTACAGGGCATGGATACTGGAGTAAGGCAGAAGGCACAGGCCAATGGTGATTTTAAAAGGTGTGCTGAAAGGGCTGAATGGTGATCCTACCAGGTTTGCTGCATGGATAACGACAATTGTAAGTAAAGGCTATGAAATGTCTACTTTTGCCCTGGCCAGAAGTTCTAGCTTACTAGCTATAGTTCCCTGTCTTCTGGTAGACTTTTTGTTTCAGTATAAAATATAAATTGAGGGACAGGGATTTAGCTCAGTGGCACCGTGGCTGCCTCTCAAGTGCAAGGTCCTGAATTTGATCCCCAGCACCAAAAAAAAAAAAAGGAAATTGAAGTTTACAAGGACCACAAAAGTAGATTATTAGAGAAGCTAAGAATATGACCAACCAATGGTAAAGGGAAAGTAGATACTTCTCCACTCTGAGCATGTAGCAAGCCCCTGCCCTCCTTCCAAGAGGAAATGCTTAAATTGACCAAGGGCTCAGAAATAAAACAAAGTCAGACTTCTAAACCTTGTATTAGGAGAAGTGTTTTTCCCCCTAGGGAAATATCTATGCCAAAAGAATTTTCTTCTCTATTTCTTGGATATTGAATACAATACAATGAAATTCTTAATTACTCAAAGTACTAGGGAAAAGCCATTCACAATCATGTAATCTAAGTACCTACATGATCAATAGAATTTCCCATTGTTATATCAAAATAAACATAATGAAAATTCATGGTCTTAAGAAATATTATGACCCACAAACAAAAGAAATCTTGTGAGATCACACACTTAAAAGTAAATCCAATCTACACAAGGATCCTTGATACAATATAGGATAGGGAGAGGGTAATTTTAAAATTAATTTTATTGGTACATTTTAGGTACACAATATAATGACATTCATCTTTGGAAATTTGTACCTTTACATAATCTCTCTTGGTTCTTATTTTTTCCCTATTCCCCTGCCTTCCCTTCAACCCCTCCATCCCTCCCTATTTACAAAGACTTTGTTTCCATTTTTTCATTTTATCATATTAATTCCATACCTTTCTTTCCTTTCCCCTACCCCTCCCGATTCCCCTTCCCCTTTGCCCCTTTTCTTCCTATTTCACATTATCTATTATACCTTTTAGTCCTTATTTATACTTTCAGTTTTTCACACTAGAGAAACTATTTGGTATTTACACGTGTGTGTCCTATTTCTTTCGCCTAAGAGTATGGCCTCAATGTGCATCCACTTAGCTATAAATGTCTCTAATTTCTCATTTTTTATGGCTAAGTAGTACTCCACTTTATAAAAAAAAAACCCATCACATTTTCTTTATGCAGTCTCCAGTTGATGGGCTGCTTCCAAGTTTTAGCTATTACAAATTGTGCTTCTATGAACATGGGTGCACATATATCACTGTGGTATGATTTTTTAATTCTTTTGGGAAAGTATCCAGCAGGGGAATAGCTAGGTCAAATGGGACTTCCAGTCCTAGTTCTTTGAGGTATTTCCATACTGATTTCCACAGTGGTTGCACCAGATTATAAGGAGAAGGTAATTTTAAAAAAGAATCCTTCATTTTGCCAAGGGATTTACATTAGGGTAATTAAGGTACTTCCCCAAGGCTTTAAAAAATACTTTGATGCACAAAAATAGCATTGATGTGCAAAACTGTAAAAGTAACACACCAATTTCATCAAGTTGGGTAAACCCAGACATGGTCCATGGCAAATGGGAAGAGGGACTTAATGGATAAATTCATCTTTCAACCTTGCGCAGGAGATTTAGCTCAGTGGCACTGTGCCTGCCTTGCAAGTGCAAGGTCCTGAGTTCAATCCCTGGTACCACCTCCCCCAAATCACCTCAATCTTAATTCTACACCATAAAAAGACTCTAGAGTGTGATAACATATCTTGAGACTCTGAGCTTTTTTAAAAAATGTTTTCTTCAACTGTGTGGGATTAGGGTATAAAAGTGAGAGGAAGGATTGCTATTATACTACAAGAAAAAAATATGTAGTCAGAATCTCTGCAACTATGCTATATTTATAGCTTCAAAATCTTTGTATACCAAATGATTCTCTTTAAACTTAAAAGCAAACCTTCAAAGATTATATTTACTTTAAAAAATGAATACTGTTCTACCTAACTCTTATTTAAAAGGATGTAAACTAGGAAGCACACATCTCAGACACACTTTAGAAAACTATTTCATTGGAGTTTTATTTGCATACCATAAAATTCACCTGTTTTAAGTGCACTATTCACTACCATTATAAACTAGTTTTGAACATTTTCATTATTCCAGTTAGATCCTGTCAGCTCATTCACAGTTAATACACATTCTTACCTTTAGTACCAGTTCATCTCTAAGCTAATTTTCTGTCTCTACGGAACTGTATTTTCTACATTTCATATAAATGGAATAATATAATAGGTGCCTTTTGTGTATGGTTTCTTTTTCTTAGTATATTTAAAAATACATCCATGTTCTAGTGTATGTCAGTAACTCATTCCTTTTTATGGCTGAATAACATGCCACTGTATACCCCATTTTGTTTCTCCATTTGCCAGTTGGTGGAAATTTCGATTGTTTCCACTATTTGGTGTAGAAGTCCTCTGATGGCCTTGGTGATCCAACTCTTCCTCTTTCTCTCTTGTAGTCCTCAGAGTACAGAATGTACTATAAATGCAGCATTTGAGATAAGGAGGAGCTGGCCACATCAGCCTGAACTCTGTCATTTTTCCTATTAGAATAGAATGTCCTAAAACTCTTTAGCTTAGTGATTGAAATTTCTCCCTTGTATAAAACCCCAGACAGAGCATGGTTTAAGGGTTCTCAGTTGTATTACAATGTAGGTCACACAGAGCTAAGACTCCACTCATCCTGGGCCTTGGGGGACCTATTTGCCATGAATCCTAGGCTTCTACTATCTGTTACTGCCTGTGTGTGAATAATAACTTACTTAACTGTTGTGTAGAGTTCTGTGCCTCAGCGGACTTGTGCATGTGGATTAACACTAGTGTGTGGTAGTAGTGAGGTGTTTTGAGTCCTCCACTAGGACTGATACTGGTGCACAGTGAAACTTAACTTACACTTGGCTTCTGTGAATAATGATACTATGAACATTCACACGCAAGTCTTTGTGTGGATATATTTTCTCATTTTCTTTGTACACACCTTCTTTTTAACACTTCAATTTGCATACGGAACCCTATTCTTTCAGGTCATGATGTCCTCAAAGCAGACTGTTCACAACCTCTATTGAGTTATGTTTTATGCCCAACAGCAGCAAAGGAGGCCTTGGTCCTTCCCAAGGTCTCTCTCTAGTTTGAGTGCCATGGATCAAACGTCCTTAAAGCTTTTGTATTTTAGTAGTACAGTGAGATACCACACAGAGATGTGGAACAAAGGTAGGAAAAGGAACCATGGTCTTCTCTCTGGTATACATACAATGCACTTTGGAAGATGTCATTTCAGGTCACATTTTTCTATTTCTCTGTGTTAGTAGGTTATAGACATTCTAGCAGCTATGCAGAACAACTTTTCTCTTTCTATACTAGGACAAAATGGTAGTGAGAGATGCATATATTACTTTGAAAAAGTCCTAAAAGGATCCAAAGTAAAATCCCAATATACCAGTAACTTTATGTGCTTTAAGTACAGAGAACATTTTTCTTTGTACTCTTTTGTGCTTCTCCACATTTTAAACCAGAGGAGTACATGGTCTTTTGGTATTTTTAAGAAAACTTTTGTAGTGAAATGGCTTTTATTCCTCTACAAATGTAACTCATTTTTCCAAACTTCCTGTGTGTGATTTCATTCTGTAGATGAGCCCTCAGAGTATCATTTCTGAGTATGCACACACCTAACAAATGCTCTTGCATGGCTCCTGTTTCTCTCTCTTACATTCTCTCTTTTAAATGTTAAACATGATCCATCACATATCAAAAAGACCTCTAAATACAGATGCACTGACCCTGGTTTTAAATTTTGGTTCTGCCACTTAAAAGCCACGTGGCTACTACAGTTTGACAACTATCCCCCAGAGGTACCTGTGTTAGAGGACTGGCCCCCAGGATGGTGCTACTCCAGGTGGAGGAATACCCAAGAGATTACCTAGATCATTGGAGGTGGGTGTGGTCCCCGAGGGGGATTGTGAGAATCCAGCCAGGCCAGTCTTCTGTCCCTTGCTCTGCTTCCTCACTCCTGAAGTGCCTGGTTTGCTCTGCCACAGGCTTTTGCCATGATGTTCTGTCTCATCAGAGGCCCAAAGACATGGGGCTATGCAATTAAGTGCAGGAACCTCAGGACCATGAGTCCAAATAAACCTTTTCCCCTTATAAGTTAATTATCTATGGTATTTCATTGTACTAAAAGTAGACTGATGAATACAGTGTGGGCAAGTCATAGCCTATGTAGACTCAGTTCTCTTATCATGAGATACCTAATGTAGATTTTACTAAGGATCAAGTGTGGCACTGTAAAGGAAAGTGCTTTGTAAATGATGAACAACTATCAAGTGTTAGAGCAGATTCACTGGAGCTGTAGGCACTGCATTAAACAGAACATTCTGAATCAACATACGCAGATGCAATGAGAAGAGTCATATGCAGATTTCCTCTTTCCATCTCAAAGTCCATCAGTGTAGCAGAAGACTCACCCACAGGATGAACAAAGACACATGGGCATGTTACCTTTTTGTTTCCCTGACTGATTCATCAGTGGTTTCCTTGTATTCTGGAACACTGTTATTCAAATCCATGCATACTTTGCCAACAAATGCCCGTTGCCCAAATTTATCTGTGAAACACAAAAAGAATCTGAAGGAATTTTTCTTTTCCAAAGTGTACTTTTCTGAGCCTTCTAGAAATACTTTAAATTAAAATAATTATAAAAAATGCAAGTGTAAAGGGTATTCAGTATCACACCACTTAGGAATAATAACAACGACCCACTAAATTCAGTAAGTTGTAGAAGTGTTTCTAAGTATTGTACATCTGCCTGACTAGGTAATAACTGGGTGTACTGTAGCTCTTAATCAGATTTTCCCTTTGTTTATACAGTTTGTCTATATGTTTACCAGTGTCAACTATCTTTGCTCTCATTTTACCACACAGGAAAGAGGGAACAGCCTCAGATCCTAGGGAAACACTCTACTATTTTTTGGCATACCCACATTCTATCTCTTCTCCTTTTTCCATTTCTCTTTCTCCTCTACTCATAATCTCCCTCCTGTCAACCACTCCACTACCATGCCTTGGATTGGTCTGTGTACACATGGTGCTCTCCTTGATGAAACACAGCATGGTAAAGTGTTAAGAATGTAAAGTGTTAAAAATGTGAGGGATTCAGTGTGACACCTTATGTGGATTTGATACCTTATTTCTCTGGTTAATTCCTAGGATGGCCGATGCTATTTGCTTAAGATCTAGACCTCTATGTTCCCATTGTCCTCTGCCAAATGCAGGGTTATAAGGAATATACCCAATTACGTACTAGGCTCTGTTTATGCTACTCGGGTACTATACTGTTGCTCTCCTTAACTGTTGCCGTATCAGTAGTATTACTTTGGGGAATTTTACTTAATGTCACTAGCAGCTCTGAGCACTAAGAACCTAATACTCACCAGAGGTGCTGGAAGAATTCTATTTCAGCGAGAAAGTTGAAGGTACACAGGGCAATGTTGCTTTGACAAAGTTCCCACTGCTATTATACAAGTCTTTCAAAATGTTTTCTGCTATTCTCTTTCTGCTGTAATTTAGTTTAATACCTGGCTATTAGATTATTCTCCCTTACAATGTCACTTTCATTATATCACTCACTTGGCCTAAAAATTTTACTATCATGTTTGATGCTTATTCAAGCCCCTCCTTAATCTAAACTATCCCACCTGCCCAATATCCTCAACCACCCCAACATGCAAAGTCTTCTTCTCCATTAAACTACTGTTTCCTGCTTCCTGTATTCACCACTGATATCCTTGTTTAAGCCATCTCATTTCAGATGTTTAGGAGATGGTTTAGTCTCTCCCCAGTTTTCTTTTCTCCAAAACCCAGTTTAAAGGTCCTTTCTATGAAACATTCCCAGATGACCTAGTTGGGTTTTCATTTCCTCCTCTGATCACTGTAATAATTACTTTCAGGATTACCTTGGCCACCAGCAGTGGCTTAAGTGCATCGGTCAACAGCATTTACTAAGTGCTTGCTACACGCCAGACACTGTACTGGACACAAGAATTAGAACCATCGACCTAAATTCAGTCTCACTTCGGCTTACTAGCTGTTCTACCTTGGGCTTATTTAATCCATATAGAGTGCTTGATCCAATGTTGGGCATCTAATAACAGCTCCACAAATGTTACTAAAATTATTAATCAATCTATACAAGTGTTCTGTCTGGCTCTTCAAGGACAGAGACTATCTTCCCAGCATCAAGCACTCTGACCTGAGTCTAGCCAAAAGACCTAAATAAACTGTTGCCATAGAAAGAATTAATAAACTTACCCTAAAAGGCTCTAAATGAGTACACAAAATTCAGATCCATAAACATTATTCTGGAACTAGAAACCATAAGTAAATAATCAAATTACTTAAACAATAAAAAAAATTCAAGGGGCACAGTTATACACAGACACCTAATTACTTGCAAAAAATGCAGTGCTCCAGGTCTAGCCATTAAAAAGCAGGACTGCCTACAAAGCAAAGTCGCTGTCCAGGCTGGGCTGGCTGTCTTTGCTTGATGTGTGCATAAATCCTGCTTTATCCACTCACCTGTAATCTCTGCAAGGAGCAGGGATGCATCTGTGTGAATTGTGCCAAAGTAGCAAGCTGTGGTTGTTCCATTCTTTAATGTTCTCCTCTAAAAATAAATCACAAAAACCCCAAATTACATGTGCTCAGAAAAGTCACATGGCATTTACAAGACGAAAATAGAATTCTAGTTTTTAATTTTCAAATGCTTTTAAAAGTATGCCATCTTGATGTGAAATATATTTAAGTGGCAAAAGTATTTATATTCCCAGTGTTAGTTCATACTTTTGATTTCCTACAGTCATGCAGCTCTATGTTTCAAAATTCACAAATGTGATTCATATTTCTTAGGATTGTTTGAGGATATCCAAATTTCATTGCATGTAGGAGTGCAAAATGAGATTTTCCTATTAACAGAGTAAAATTATTCAGCTCTACTTAGAATTCCATCTGGTAAATTGATCACATGTATGTATCTTTTTGTGTTTAGCAATCTTTATTAACAACACAGTGGAGAAGTAAAAAATTTATTCCCTCACAATAAGAACATGAGACAGGAACAGGGGAGACATTTCAATGTCTTCTTAGAAGACAAAGAACATGGATAAGAACCTGGAAACAACTTTAGAAAGAAGGTGAGAGCATGCAGGTGCTAGCATGGAATCGGCTGCAAGTCTGTACGCAGATAATTAAAGCCTGGCCGGAACCTTCTCCACAATGTTGAAATCATTCAATCACTCCTAATCTGTTCCTTGCAGAAAGATATACTCTCTGTATATCTGGAAAATCGATAGTACTTACAGGGTAAAATCCCCACCCAAACAAGATGAAGTGGTTAAAGTAAAAATCTGGCTAATCTCCAGGGTCTCTGGTCATCTTACTCAGAATATCACATGTATTACTCCTACTTCTCCTGAAAAGAACCCAAAGGATTCTTTCCTAAAGAAAAAGATTGGCTTTAAAAGAACAATGTCCCCACAGTGACACTTAGGGCCTATTTACTGCTTCCACAGGTCATCCCATAATGACGTTCACTAGTCAGCAGGTGCTAGCTCTACCCAAATCTTCCCATTGGCATTTTAGGGCATCACATTTATTTATTTATTTATTTTTCCCCCCATTAACTTTATTGGTACATTTTAGGTATAAAATAGTTACATTCATCATTGGGATCTTGTACCATTACATGAGTCTCTTGGTTCTTATTTTTTTCCCCTCCCC